AACCCCCCCCCTCTTCGGTTTCTGAAAAAATAACACTACTATTCCCCTCTTGAAATTAAAGTTTTAATAGCTTATTTATAGTTCTTGACCATTCCAAATGGCACCGTTTGACCTTCAAAACACCAAAATATTTTGAGGCCCTTTAGCGGGCCCCAAACCCCACCACAAGGGGGCCGAGGCGCGGATTCGAATCCGAGGCATGTCATTTGTAAAAAAAAACACTGACCCCCCCTTCAAATGCTGGAGCTGCCCTTGTCTTACCACCTGTATACTGCGTTCAGCAGACAAAAATTTGTCTTCTTTGCAGAATTATTTGCCAAAAATGTTTTTCCCAAAATTCGCATTGTTGCAATAGCTTTTACACGTTTGAACGTTTTGAAATAATTTCCTCTTCTTATAGGACTTGCTACTCAAAACTTAAACCGCTCAGGTGTAAACCGCTTTGGCTCTCATCGTGCTCTATAACGTCACAAGTGAAGTCTAAATCAGTGTAATCTCAGTAATCTCAGTGTAAAAAAGTCAAAGCATCTAACTAGGAACTAATCAACTAATCAATAAAATCGACTAATCAATAAAAGCCACCAAACTTGAATTGATTCAGTAACTTTCCCGCCATAACACCACGTCATACAGTGGCGGATTTAGGGGGTTTTGAAGAAAAGATTACACCAAATTTCTTCCTTTGATTTAAAATTTTGATCAGCTGAATCATAGTTCTAAACAATACCAAATGGCGCCGTTTGCCCTCTAAAACACTCCAAGGGCGCCGAGGGTCGGCTTCTTATCCGAGGCCAGTCATTTCTAAAAAAATCGGAACCCCATTCAAATAACCCTGGAGGGACTGTCAATGTTATGTTTGACTATTACAGGGTACGTGAGATTGTCACCTAAATGACTGACTTTTGGGTGCCTTGGGGCCAGTGAAAGATAGTACCCCCACCCCGCCCCCTGTGGCACGGTAAACATTGGCGGATTTAGGGAGTGTCGGGGGGGGGGGGTGTGACCTCCTTTCAATTTCTAAAAAAAAATCACACCAATGGTCCCTTCTTGAAATAAGAATTTTGACGAGCTGAATTTTAGTTCTAAACCGTACCAAGTGCTACCGTTCGCCCTCTAAAATACCCATTTTTTCTGGTCCTTTCAGAGGGCCTCGTACCCCACGGTGGACTTCGTATCTGCGGACCCCCTCCCCCCCTTTCCAAAGTAGTAAAAAAGTAATCTATTTAGGAACGCTCCGTGTGGGCTTTTCAAATAAGTGTTCTTGTACATGATGAACTTTAACAACGTTGATGATGATACCATGTTGGCAGACTGTCGACGCGCGGGAAGAAATACCTAAGTTCGGCTCACGGCCTATTGATTGTTATGGCAGATATATACATATACAGCCAAACTGGCCCTCTCTGTGAGAAAGTAGAAAGTTTCCATTTGATCCGCATCTTACCAACGAAGCTTCTGTGGCTCCGTGGTAACTCTACCGTCTTAGACACAAATACTCACTAAAGCCTGGGTTCGAGTCCAAAGGTTTTCAAAGTGACTTTTTTGCTAGAAATAATGGCTAAAAATTGCGTTTGATTACTATAAGAGGAAAATCGTACGTATGGTCGGTGGGCGGTTCAGTCACGGCGTTGTCGGTAGCGTACTTAGGTGCAAAAATACCAAACCATCAGCAAATCATGGTAACGGCAAGTCACGAGTTCAAATCCCATATGACGCATGTCAGTTGACCACAAGAGGCAGCTGGTCCCGAAAACGAATGCAGGTTCGTGTGTGTCCGAACAAATTATCTTTTGCATAAAAATATTGTATAGTTTAGAATTAGGGATAGATTTTTACAACTTGCTCGTATTTATCATAAAGTTCGCGTAGTCAATTACATTTCTTTTCTCTTTGCTTTAAAGTCTTAAAAATGATACTTAGGCAGGGATGGTCATTAGCCTCTTTCCTTTACCAACTACGCAACGGATCAAAATTGAACAGAGTCAATACCTTACCTGGCATGGCGTCATGCATTTCATACAACCTCTTCATAAAAAAGCTACCTGCTCGTTGGGATTATCAACAAGAAAAATGTTTTTCAAAATTCACATTGCCGCTATGGTTTTACCTAACCATACGTTATGTTTTTTTATGCCCCCCCCCCACCCCACCCCTTTGGTCTTGCTTATCAAGACTGTACATACAACATTGGTCAAAAAGGTTGTCCCACAACAACCGGAACCCCATTCAAATAATCCTGGATCAGCCCTTGGAGAGACTGTCAATCTAATGTTTGGTCTTTGTGTTTTCAGATTGACAATATATTTAGATTGGCTGATGACTTTTTTGCAAAACCCCAAGAGACCAAGAACAAGTTCATCCGCCCCTTATCTGACCCAAGTGGAATTGGCTACATTCCAATAGGGAGAGAAACGTAAGGCATGCAGGCAGGGTGCACAAATGTGCCACTCTCTGAAATCTGTATTTTGATGTACCTACCATTTCTACTATTTCCATGTTATTACCATACCTGTATGTTTAAAGCAGTTTCCACTCTTCACCATTTGACCTTAAAAATCTCATCTCAACATACACATGTTGATATAATTATATTTGTAATAATGCAGAAATGAAGAATGAAACAATTTTTGCCCTTTCTTGATAATACACGAGAAACATTTTGGCAAAGGTAAGTCATAGGCATACTGAGACACATGAAGGCATGAAATGATTAATACACGGCATGAATGTAATGTTATGAAAATTAACTGACAACAAAGATGTAATTAATTATCAAAAGTGACTGTGCAACATAATCACAACTGGATGAGGATTTTCTTTAGTTTTGAAGCAGACAAACCTGCTGACTTCAAGGAGTCCTTTGATGCTATTCCTGGAGGAGCTTATAATCAGGTACCACTTCATTCTAGAAAAGCGCTCATGATCAGAGAGCGTAGATTTGCGCCAAGGCAACTCAGCTTCCCTTCTCATTTCTTATAAACGCGGATTAGGTGTTTACTAACACTACCCGCAGATCTTTTACGGTAGCATTAACGTCCATATTAATCACAAAACCCGTTATTATTAAAAGAAAATAGAAGAATTGATTAATGGATTACCACCAAACCCCGTTAAAAAGTTTCCCGTTGTAGACACATTCCCTCATGTAGACATTTAGATGTCATAATCAAAATAAGGAGTTTCGTTTTAGCTATGGCCAGGTATCCCAAACTTTGAGAAGGATGTGGTGGAGTTCCACAGAACTTGTGCCAAGCTGAGTCTTCGAATGCTGAAACTGATTGGGATGGGACTTGGACTGGAGGTAACGGATATACATGTAGATAGCACGTACCTTTCATTACAAAAACTACACGTAGAGCAATAAAAAAAAGTCATGCAGAATTCCAAATTTGAGTCAAAGGTTTTAGTCCCTAGACTGATAGACTGGAATGCTTTTACCACAAGTGTTTATTTCGCATCATACAGAAGTCATGTTTCCATTTGATAAAGCCGCCCATATGGTTTCTTTGACCCCTGATGGCTTCCAACTCATTAGAGAAATACATNGGGGGGGGGGGGGGATATTCGCTAAATGTGCACAGCTAGTGAATTGCCGGAGAAAAAAATCTGTAAATATCACCCTGGTAGAGGGTAATTAAAAACTGGGTACCAGGATAGAGATAAAGAAAACATTGGAAAACAGAGTGAGTGACCAATCTTTTTACCAACAATAAAACAAATATTTGAAAAGCCTTGCAGCCCACATCCCCCCGTCGACTAAGAGATATTGTCTGATATAAATATAATATTTTTATTGTTGTAGGCCTCCCTCAGGAACGAGTACCTTTGCAGGGTTGGATCGATGTACCAATTACGATAGTTTAATTGTGAACGCATAGTAAATCTCTCAATGAAATGGGTCCCAGATCATATAGAAAAAAATCCTTTACTTTAGTTGAATACTTTCAACTTTGATCAGAATAAGATTGAGTTATTACATAAGACATAATGGAACATGATTGCAATTAAAGCACTCTCACCGTGTTGAATTTAACCCAGCCCTTGTAACCTCCGAAGCCACCGTAACCGCCAAATTTGCCGCCGTAGCCGTAACCGCCGTATACCCCCGTAGCCCCTCTGGTACAGGCCGTAGTTGAAGCCACGGTTGTGGAAAGATCCAACGCCATGTAGACCGTTAAAAGCAGGCAACACCGTCTGCAAAGGCAACAAGAGGCAAAGGAACTTAAGAGCCATATTTGAGATAGCTCGACTGTTTGAAGAATCAAAAACAGTTATGGCGTTTGGGCAGGCGTTCTCACACACACTCTGCCGTGAAAAGATTGATCATGTCTAATTTACTAAATAAGAATTTTTTTCCGACGAACGAATCAGTTACTTTCAAAACAAATCAGGGAGATTTATTTGTTGGGCAGTAATCAACTTAAATTTAGTTTAGTCAGTCATTATTTTTCACATTATGTGACGAATATTTTTTGTTAACAAGAAAGTAAAAAATTAATTCGGAGAACAAATTCTGGGCCTCTTTTCTCCCTTAGGTATTTAACTTCATATTTCACGTGCAAAATGCCCAGTATGGGCCCCTGCCCATCACGTGCGGTGGCCTATAACGTTAAATTTCAGGAATGAGATTACGAAAATTGCGCACACAGTGTATGTGACCATACATCACATTGTTAATGGTCAAGACTTGTGCTTCGCACGGAGTGCCTCCTCCGTCAAAACAGTAATGCTAACGGTGGTACTGTGCGCGATCTCACTGACCGCTTATGACGTTGCAAACACCGTACAGCTGCACAGGATCTCATGAGTTTTCCCACATTTAATTAATCTATTTGACACCGTAAACGCCTGATGAAGGATGAGAGAGATGATGATAAGCAAATATTCTTAATGAGACAGAGTTTATATTTGGGGGTAAAAAGTCAGTTTCACGCCAACTTGGACGTGATCAATCATTTTACGGAAAAATTGTATATAAGGGCGCTTGCTCTAACGGCAACTCATCTGCTTTTGACTCTTCAAAACAGTCGAGACACCGTAAAATGGCACCTAAGTTCCTTTGCATCCTGATCTTGGGCCTTATTGCCCTGCAGATGGTGTCTGCCGCCGGCTTCTACGGACTGAACGGTCTTGGCCTTTACGGTGCAGGCTACGGCGGTCTTTACGGCTACGGAGGCTACGGCTACGGGGGCTACGGTGGTAGATTCGGAGGTTACGGTCTCTATGGCGGCTACGGTGGAAAGTTCATCGGCTAAGCGGTGAGTATATTACTTATGATATAGGCCTAAGTATGTGTGACTAGATTTCAAGAGCTTTCTCAGTATGTTAATATTGTTGTGATCAAAGTAGGAAACAAACATATTTCTATATAAAATGGGATAAATTCCATTGCCAATTTTAAATTCTTTAAACATTGGTGGATATAAGGTGTTCCACAGATATTAAATAGTTGCGAGGAAAGTTAGCAGTGCACATTTTTCTCTTGTATCGGGTATTTACATTTTAACTAAATGACGTACACTTTGATACATTGCAATCGTAGATATAAGGATGCCTTTTGGATTGATAATAATTTCTTTCTTGAAAGTTTCACGGGATAAAGTTCAAAAGAGGCTTTATATATATTCTGTAATTACGAGTTATTGCATATTATAGAGGCAGTTTTTTTCTTTTCTCTCTCACAAAAACATCAAGAAACTATTTCACTTCCATTTTATTTACAATCTGTGAACATGGTTTAAGAAATGTACTTCTCTCTTGCAGATTTCGCAACGATCCATCCATCGAAGACACTTGGTAGCATAAACCGTAACGAACTCAGAAAAAAAAAAAGAACTTTCTGCGCAGTAGATAATAGACCTCAAGCAAAACACAGCGACCACAATAGTAACTACATTGGACCGCAGTGGAAGACTACATCGGACTCAGTTCTATCAAGAATTTGAAGAAGCCAGATGGACGATTGGGCAAATGGACGCTAAAAGTTCATTCTATTCGTGATCACAAGTGAATGAAAATGAATATCAGTGAACACGAGTGATGCCAGTCTTACTACGGCCACAATGTTAATAAGCACGCCATTGTCACATTGTCATTGATGCACTTTCAGACGTCGATGCTCTGACAATATCTAACATCAATTTGTGACGTTTACACATTTTCAATAAACGATTGCTACCTCACAATTTCTCTCTGTTCTCTTGTTTATCAACTGTAATAATCGGCCAACTCTTGTTTCTTCACCGCGAAAAGTCGTCAACTAAATTTGACCAAGCCCTTGTTACACCGATGTTGCGATCACTCTCACCGGGACCTCCTTTCAAAGTTGAGTTTTGACAATATTTTATGATCAACATCCAATCCGCACATTAGTAATAATTAATTCTAAATATTGCGCCTTTTTTTTGTTACATATTTGTGAGAGTGAGCAAAAAATTGTTCTCAGGTGATCGCAACTCCAGTGTAACAGGGGCTCAAAAGATGTCTAGATAAACCTTATTCATATTTTTTCGTTAGTGGCCAATGTCAACCTCACCATTGGCTTTTGTCATTATTGTTTCTAGACGCGTTTTATAAAATCTCATATTTCTAGTTTTTGATAGTCTGCGCGGAATCTCATCTTTCAACAACTAAGTCGAGGTAAATGTTTGGCCCACTGTAAATTCCAGTAATTAAGTGCTTATAAGTGACATAATTCTCCATTTTGAGATCATATAATAGCTTCCTTTGGTTTTAAATGATAATTTATAACAAAAAAAAAAAAAAAAAAAAAAAAAAAAAAAAAAAAAAACAAAGCGCTTTTGTGACAGAGGTCAACAATTATAGTGTGTAGGAGTGTCACTGTGCCCATTATCTGACATTTCGTCCTCATCTCCACTTTGTTTTACAAGAATTCAGCAAAATGTAAATGCAAAGAATGCCAGTAAAAGCTCATCTGACTTAAGGCATGCAACGCATATTGGAAAAATATGAGAAATGAATAGAAAAATGAAAATTTCAGTATCACTGACTTTATCGCCAAGGTAGGCCTATATTCTATCTGAAACAGTTGAGTGAGTTACGATCTATAAACCCATTTTCTAGTTCCAAACGTCTCATTTATAAAATTTCCATTTCTTTCACGAGTGCTTCTATTTCCGGCACGAGAGTGACTTACGAAAAGAAATCAAAAACAGATTTACGGATCGTGATTCTGTGAACAGTTTTGGATATGGTATACATTGCTCATTAGAGGGGGAAGTAATGAAATGTACAGGATAATTCTTTTTTTTTAGCCATATGAAATTCTAACTCTTAACTAGTTTCTTCAAACTAGTTCAAGAAAAAAGTGATCTTAAAAATGTATTTTCAGTCCAGTATATTTGAGTATGGAGCTATATAGAGAGATGAACGGAGGGTGTAAGAAAGTTTTCGAGGAAAGGGAAATTTTCTCATTTTTGGCAATAAAATTCCGTAAGGCATCAAAATAAGAATTATACACTGTCCCTCAACTGGAGGAAGGCGGGAGACGTCTTTGGGGTGTACTGAACACTTTACTTGTGTAATAAAGAAAACTTTTGAATATCAATTGCAGTCAAAAAATTCAATTGCCTTGACGACTATATTTCTTCACATAATGAAATTAAATGTAAAATGTCAACATGCCAACGGAAAACACCATGCCCATACTTGTAGATCCTGCCTCTCTACCAGGTGGCCGCATGATATAGCCTAAAGTGAGTTTTTTTTTTTTCATTCAGCGCCTTGATGTGGTATGAATTGAGGTGAAATACGATCCACCCGAAGCGCAAAGTCGGCATTATCCAAACATACAGTTTATTTCTTTCCCACACAATAAATAACACAATAGTACAAATCCGGACAGAACAATACTCATAATCATTCATTGAATCAAAGTAAATGTAAACATATATATTACCGCTTATTACAGTATGTCTTAAAACAAAGTCTTGTGCAAGTTATATCTGTGGCATGAGGACGAGCAAAAACATGATTTAGGTTTGCAAGGTGTACTCCATTGAACTTTTCGCAGCACTCTGCAGTGCATGAACATTCACAAACCACGCTTCTCCGTGAGCACAACACCACGCGCGCATATAATCTATTTCTGGTATTTTATAAAATTGTGATCGTCCCGACAAACATGGTTTATTAGGGCTTTTCTTTCATATATAGAACCCTGATGCGTGATGTCTTTTCGATTTTTTTCTTTTTACAGACAATCTAACTTTTCAACATGGCACGGTGAAGTCGTTATGATGATGATGATCGGTCACGAAACTGGCATGACAATAGTATCAAAACAATAAAAAAATCTTATGGTAACGCTATAAAATACCAGACAAAATTAGTAAAATGGCAAACAATCCCCGACCGAAATCAAACTTTTTTTCGCATTCTTTTATTTCCATTATCAAATGTTTTAACTTTTAAAAAAGTACATTGGGTGTTGGTTTGGTAAGCGGAAAATATTTACAATTGAATCGAAGAAAAAATCCTTAGTGCTGTTGGTTTTATGCTCTAATTACCCCACACTGCAGATTTGACGCCCCACCCTGTAAAAAATAAATAAATAAATAAATAAATAATAATAATCAAATAAAAAATGACGTACGAACTTGAATATTTTTGCTTTTCTCATTAAGTTTGAAAGATAAAAACAAAAATAAATTCCGCCTACTGACTCTGTTTACAGATAATAGTCACCGCTCGTCAACCTGGTCTAAAAAGAATTCAAAAAAGTATACGTTAATCTCCATCCCTCCATTTCGCACTACATCTTGGGAGAGAAAAAATTTGAAATATTCAGGAAAATAATTGGAGGTATGACGGTTTTCCCACCTCCCAAAGTACGCCCTTAAAATAATTTGCCCACGTGCGTGACGATAAATTTTAAAACTTAAATTATTAATATTTATTTGACCATCTTTGTCACGTAGTTACGATGCAGTTAATGACCAATTCTTGTGCTTGGTACGGGTTTTCTCCACAGTCAAAAAACGACGATTCCACTTTGGTGCTGTGTGCGATGTCGCCGACCAATTATGACGTGGCAAACACTCTGCTTTGTAGCCACTGTGAAGTTGCATACCTTCTTCTGAGTTTCGAAAATTTAATGGATTAATGTGACATTGTAAAAACTGTCAGATCGTGACTGCACAACAAATAAACGCTCATATCATATCTTGAAAGAGAGCGAGATGTCGTTTGCAGAAAAAGCGCTAAAGAGATTTCAGTTTCAAAAAAAAAAAAAAAAAAAAAATTAAAATTGACCATGATCAATCATTTCACAGAAAATGGGTATATAAGGATGCTTGCTCTAACAGCAACTCATCTGCTTTTGACTCTTCAAAACAGTCGAGACACCGTAAAATGGCACCTAAGTTCCTTTGCATCCTGATCTTGGGCCTTGTTGCCCTGCAGACGGTCTCTGCCGCTTTCAACGGTCTCTATGGCGTTGGAGCCCTGAACGGCCTCGGTCTCAACTACGGCGGTCTTTACGGTAAAGGCTACGGTGGTCTATACGGTGGTTACGGCTACGGCGGCCTTGGCGGCTACGGCGGCTACGGTGGTTATGGTCTCCTTGGCGGCCTCGGTGGTAAATACGGTGGATATGGTGTCTATGGCGGCTACGGCGGCAAACTCGGCTACGGCTACGGCGGCAAGCTCGGCTAAACGGTGAGCAGATTACTTATGTGTCATGCATGCGTGATTATACATAGGTATTCTAGTATTAAACAACATTTTATCAAGGTGGAACAACACTGATTATAAGCTGGTACAATGTACCTATAAGATATGAGATTAATTTCCTTGTTTGATTTCGATTTTTTTAAAAGATTCAGTGTATTACGGGTACACATCCTACGGAAAAGTATTTGTGGTCGTAGTTGGAAATTCACAGATCTATCCCACATCTATCTCTTTCACAAATTTCTCTTAGTATTCGCCTAATTTTTTTTTACTTATAAACAGTTCTAATATAAATATAACAACCATGTATTTTGCACGGGTAGTAACGCTAACCTTTAAGATTTCATATGGTGCTCCCAAATAGTTTTGAAATATTTAGGGATTAAGGCAAGAAACATGACGTTAGCACAGGGTATGATAAAAACTGGAGGTTCTCATTTTCCTCCACCATCAGAAATTGCAACTTTTGGGATTTTTTAAGATAAAATGCTGTAAGAACACTCTGCAAAGAAGATCTTATAATTGAAGGAAACAGTGAAGTAACTTTCAGCTTTGTTCTCTGCTTACAGTTCAGTGGCGGTTTTAGAGGGGAGGTCAGGGGGGTCCTGACCCCCCCCCCCCCCGCCCCCAATCTTCGGTTTCTGAAATATATATATACATATCACACCAATATTCCCCTCTTGGAATAAGAATTTTGAATAGCTAAAAATTAAAGTTCTAAACCATACCAAAATGCACTGTTTGCTCTCCAAAACATAATGCAGTTGATAGTGCAGTATTACGAATGTAATGTACTCTGTGCAATCTGGCTAAATGCATGTGCTTGTTCCTTGCAGGTAACTGAACGACCATCCTCCAAGACCGCTTGGTAGCAGAAACCGCAAGACTTTCGCTCACGCATAAAAATGTTTCATAAACTCTCCTATGCCACTCTCTTAATGCTGATCTAAGGTAAAACAGTACAAATACCGGTACAACAATAGTTACATTGGACTGCAGTTCAAGACTGTGAACATCGGACTCAGTTCTGTCCAGAGTTACATNCGATGTCGCCGACCAATTATGACGTGGCAAACACTCTGCTTTGTAGCCACTGTGAAGTTGCATACCTTCTTCTGAGTTTCGAAAATTTAATGGATTAATGTGACATTGTAAAAACTGTCAGATCGTGACTGCACAACAAATAAACGCTCATATCATATCTTGAAAGAGAGCGAGATGTCGTTTGCAGAAAAAGCGCTAAAGAGATTTCAGTTTCAAAAAAAAAAAAAAAAAAAATTAAAATTGACCATGATCAATCATTTCACAGAAAATGGGTATATAAGGATGCTTGCTCTAACAGCAACTCATCTGCTTTTGACTCTTCAAAACAGTCGAGACACCGTAAAATGGCACCTAAGTTCCTTTGCATCCTGATCTTGGGCCTTGTTGCCCTGCAGACGGTCTCTGCCGCTTTCAACGGTCTCTATGGCGTTGGAGCCCTGAACGGCCTCGGTCTCAACTACGGCGGTCTTTACGGTAAAGGCTACGGTGGTCTATACGGTGGTTACGGCTACGGCGGCCTTGGCGGCTACGGCGGCTACGGTGGTTATGGTCTCCTTGGCGGCCTCGGTGGTAAATACGGTGGATATGGTGTCTATGGCGGCTACGGCGGCAAACTCGGCTACGGCTACGGCGGCAAGCTCGGCTAAACGGTGAGCAGATTACTTATGTGTCATGCATGCGTGATTATACATAGGTATTCTAGTATTAAACAACATTTTATCAAGGTGGAACAACACTGATTATAAGCTGGTACAATGTACCTATAAGATATGAGATTAATTTCCTTGTTTGATTTCGATTTTTTTAAAAGATTCAGTGTATTACGGGTACACATCCTACGGAAAAGTATTTGTGGTCGTAGTTGGAAATTCACAGATCTATCCCACATCTATCTCTTTCACAAATTTCTCTTAGTATTCGCCTAATTTTTTTTTACTTATAAACAGTTCTAATATAAATATAACAACCATGTATTTTGCACGGGTAGTAACGCTAACCTTTAAGATTTCATATGGTGCTCCCAAATAGTTTTGAAATATTTAGGGATTAAGGCAAGAAACATGACGTTAGCACAGGGTATGATAAAAACTGGAGGTTCTCATTTTCCTCCACCATCAGAAATTGCAACTTTTGGGATTTTTTAAGATAAAATGCTGTAAGAACACTCTGCAAAGAAGATCTTATAATTGAAGGAAACAGTGAAGTAACTTTCAGCTTTGTTCTCTGCTTACAGTTCAGTGGCGGTTTTAGAGGGGAGGTCAGGGGGGTCCTGACCCCCCCCCCCCCCGCCCCCAATCTTCGGTTTCTGAAATATATATATACATATCACACCAATATTCCCCTCTTGGAATAAGAATTTTGAATAGCTAAAAATTAAAGTTCTAAACCATACCAAAATGCACTGTTTGCTCTCCAAAACATAATGCAGTTGATAGTGCAGTATTACGAATGTAATGTACTCTGTGCAATCTGGCTAAATGCATGTGCTTGTTCCTTGCAGGTAACTGAACGACCATCCTCCAAGACCGCTTGGTAGCAGAAACCGCAAGACTTTCGCTCACGCATAAAAATGTTTCATAAACTCTCCTATGCCACTCTCTTAATGCTGATCTAAGGTAAAACAGTACAAATACCGGTACAACAATAGTTACATTGGACTGCAGTTCAAGACTGTGAACATCGGACTCAGTTCTGTCCAGAGTTACATGAAAAGAAGTTGGGGAGAACCATGGGAAAATGGACGCTGAATGTTTTCTCATGATGAGACTCAGTGAATGAAGATGGAGAACAGTGAACATGAAGGATACCAGTCTTACTGTGACCTCAATGTTAATCCATGCCATCTTTTGGCACATTTTTATTGCTAAACTTTCAGACTCAGATTATGTTCATTATTTGTGCGTTGTATTAAGAAGTCTTAATAAATAGTTGCTGCATAACAATGTCTTTTCATTCACTTTCTAATTAATATTATTTTGATGGCCAATTCTTTTAATATCAGTCAAAAGTAAAGTGTTTTTCAAAAGTGCGAATCATGTTCTTAATTTATGATCAACTTGATAAAGACGTTGTTTTAGCACAAAATGCTTCATCAAAAAGATTTGGATCACGTTTGTTAATTCTTTCTTCTTTAGTGAACTATGTCAACACTATCATTTCCATTTTTTTTAAACTGTAGGCTATCCAAATGTTTTATCTGAAGAATTTCTTGACTTGTTTTATTTTACCCCGGTTAGTAGGATTTCCTTTGTCTAAATTTTCTGTACTTTTTTTCCTAAAACTTGTACTAATCTCGCATTATTTGCTTAAAAGTGACATTTTACACTAGTTGAAAATGAAAGAAATGCACGTAAACGCTGACTCAGCTTGAGCAAAAAGAAGAAGAAAAAATAATAAAAGAAAAAGTGAAAAGAAAACGAAAATAAAAAAGGAAGTGAAAACGTAGGCCTACACTTGTTGTATATGTGAAAAATATTGTTAGAAACTTCCTTTGTTAGATTGGCGGATAGCATTGGTCTTAAAAGACTTTCAGTTTATATTGTGTTATGCCATTTTTTATTCACAACACTGAGTAGTCCTGGAGACCCTAGTGGGACTATTCAATTTTAATTTTTTCGCGTATTTTTTCATATAAATGAACTAGTTTGTCACAAAATGTCTTTTAAGTCTTATAAGTCTACAGGTCTACTTTTACGATTTTTCCCTAACAGGGACAACTTTTTAAAATTCTAATCTTAAAAAAAATATGACATACAAAATTTATTCTTCATAACAATAAAGATCCCCAAACTACCATCTTATGCTATTGAACTGTTCACGTATTTGCTGAACTTCGATTTCAATGCTTTTTACAACCGATGGAACTCTGTTTTAAGGGGGTACAATCAGGCCTATTCATAAGACCAAGAAGTTACAACTTCTTGATAAGACTGTCATGTGATGGTTACTGTATCAATCTCAAAACTAAAAGATAATGAGTGTTACATTTGAACTTCTTGTTTTCTCTTATTTGGCTAGCCTTTAAAATAAAATAACAAAACTAACTAAATGAGATTTAGAGCAAACAAAAACAAAAGCATTTATACTGTCAGCGTACATTTTAGATGTAGGCCTACAGGGGGTAGTGGGAATCTGCACTTATGAATGAGGTCACATTTTCGAAACGAGATTCCTTGACCTCATTCCATCAGCTCAATGATATTTATGTGACCCAGATACGGTACGAGCCCACAAGTATCCGCAATTTTCGCCTTACTTGTCGTCAGGTAGGTACACGTTTGACTCAATATAATACTCACTGATAACTCGCTGTATATAAAAATCGTGATTTGTTCCTGAACACACGATGGATAGTCCCAAGTAACTGTTTTATGATTCATTTTCAATATCATAAACATCCTATTCACTCAGAATATGATGCAGTTCTACCGGTTGCTTAAGGTCAGGCAAAGACCGACTCGCGCATGAAGTTAATTAGGTACCTACCCCGCGTTACTAAGCGTTCTGAATGTTATGCCGTTTAAGACCTTCACTTGTGAGTCCTGAATGGGCGTTTGTGGTCCTTTGGACTTCATTCAAAGTGAAATTAAAATGATATTTGTATGACAACATTACGCAAGAAAAAGACATGGAGACAATTTTACACGTAGGCCCCAGTAGGCCAACATATACATTGTGTAGAATGTACAACACTATAGGACTACTGTTTGCAGTATTTGCAGTACTAAATTCGGCCATTTTTGCTTATGTTTATTGTTAACTAGGTCTGACGGTTACAACTTTGCTTTGAGTTTCGACAGAGGCTAGTTTCGAGAAACCTGTCTGTTCTAGATATGAAACGGTAGGCCTACCAGCAGAAAAAAATATTAGGTCTACAACATGTATAAGGGCCGTAGGTTACGGGGAGGGGGTTGTTTGGTGGGGAGGGGAGGGGGGGGGGCAGTTGCTCTTTAGAGATTTTTAAGTCAGCGTCCAGATGACTTCCACGGGCCCAGAACCACAGGCTGTAAAAATTACCTCTCCTGCCAGTTAGGTTTCCGACGGCCTTTTCAGAGACCAGAGTGGATGATATAGTATAATACGCGTACAAGCAACCATAGTGGCCTTATTATAACACAACATAGCGTGCCTCACCAGCTAGCGAGAGCTACTAGCAAATGTTTTAAGCCGCCCGTGATTGATAACTGGACAGGACACTATAAATTTCCAAACCAAAGTGGATATACCGGAGTACAGACTGAAAGAATACAGCGGATCGAGAGTGTTCTCGGTCTTTCATTTACCCTGTTTCGTATAATCTAAGACATACGAAAGCCTTTCGTATATAACCTAGGTATAAGCATTATGGGACCCTAGAGAGAGCAATATGAAATCGAAAATATGAAGCGTTTTCAACCCTGAGTAAGAGGACGTCACAGATTCATATGAAACGTCGACCTATTTTTAAAGCAAGTGTTTGTTCTACTATATAGCGTACAAATAGTCTTAGTAGGCCTACATGTAGCCCTGCAGTACTTGTCTAGTGCTTTGCCTCCGTGCACATTCCGCATTCTTTCGACTTGGATTTCATATTTAAACTCCCCTCCACCAGCATGTGCTAGAGAGAGGATATGTCAGCAGTCTCGTGCTCAGGGTACATTCTTTATGACGGGAATGGACAATACATGTAGTAGATGCACCCGAACAATCAGAATAATGAACTGCTGTGAAACACCGATTTTCCTGGCCTTGGCTGCCGTCTACCAGCTAGGGCCACAGATCGACTTTTCACTAGATATTCACAGATATGTCTGTGACCTATTCATGACATTTATTCTACTGCCCAATGAGAATTTTTGCGCGGCATTGATTTCATTGTTCAGTTGGCCCTTGCTGTAGAGTGATGGTCTTGGTCATACCCTGAGTTTTAAAGCACTGACCAGACTGACGCTGGCCCTCCTACATGTATAGGCTACCATTCACCGACACTGCTGGGTAGAAAAAAAGCCGCAGTAAAAACTTTGAAACGCAGGGTGTTGAATGGCGACGAGAAGTGAAACATTCAGTGATGAACCAGTATATCTAAATTTTCAGGAAATACTCTGAAATTCTGAAATTTAGGGGAAATCCAGTAGTGTGAGCAGCGCAACTTCTTGGATGTGACGGACGCGTTTTAACATGTTTGTAAATTAGTCGTAGGTAGGCTGTAACCCCGATGAGAGAACCGCGGCTTTCATTAAAGTCAACTATTTATCTTTTATTTTTATATAATCAGCTGACAATTGGGTATCTGTTGGAGAAAATATTTTCAATTCGCCGTTGTGACATCGGGGTGCATTCACAACCATATTTGATCTGCGGACCTGTTAGTCCATGGATCAACTTTGGTTGTGAGCGCACCCTTATTCTGCAAAATTTCAGTTTAAACAGAAGCAATGGATATATATAAAAGTAGGGTTCTCAGGGTGCTCATGGAAATCAATGAGACATCTCCAATGACTCAGTCCATTCCGCTGATTAGAAGCGGAGAAACATGGATTTTGTCGAATACACGTGAAGCAAACCTGGCTGTAAGAGAAATAATAGTGATTCTCCTGTGCACTTACATGAATTAACGGCATCACAATTTGACGTGAAGGGTTTTTAGTCCAGCGTCTTTTTTATGTGATTTTGTCAGGTCGAATAGGGTAGTTTCTTACAAAGAACTAACGCTCATGTTACTGCAAGAAAATACACATCTGACTTTTTAATGTACATGGGGTTGGAACGCGATAAATTTAATCAAAATCGGAAAATCGGGGCATTTGAATCGCAGTACCTTAGAAAAATCATACACACTGACATAATTAAAACATTGAGTGGAATGCTGCTCATACTTTTCACGTATCTCATCATGAGGAGAGCAAGTTCCTTTTTTTCACGTGAATCAGAACGGGCGATGAGCTATTTTTAAACCCGAATTAAAATAACCATGAAGTGGAATGCTGCTATAAATACAATGTAAAATTCTCTCTTTCTCTTTCCACTGACTGTCATACACGTGCATCTGATCGAGATATTTCAAGCATTCGTCATTAGAGTGCCTCGTGATCACGTGCTGCGTGGGTTAAGCTTCCCAAGTTCAGAAGCGTGGGTGTACAAGACCAACAAACTGACCACATCCTTTTTTTATGAAATAGTTTTCGGTAACTTGACGCCATACTGAAGTCCTCATATACATCGTTCCACCTGAACTCTGCTTAGTAGTATTATATCTCTTAAAAGAAGAAACGACTGTATACGCTTGTCTGCGTCTCACCATGATATTGCCTGCTTCATAACCCATTTCGTAGAAGGTCATATTAACAAAGTTGAGATTAAATTGAATTAATTAAATTAACAAAGAAGAGAACCAGAATGGGGACTTTATTTCTTCTCGCCTGGCCTCGCTCTACGATTCAACACACTGCCCAATAATTTATACCACAGCGTTACGCAAAAAGTAAGGGACGGATTTCGATGAAATTAATTAATTATTCAGTAATTAAGTTTTCAGGATAGGTCATAAATGGGCCAATGTCATGACATTTTCGGGATAAGTCAGACAAAGGAAAAATTTATTAGATTTTGGTTTTGATCCATTAATTATTACTTAATTATAAATCTTGGCATAGGTTGCGCTGTTTGAGTTTTTTTTAGTTACAATATGAAATACAGTTTAGGCTCAACTAATATGGCCAGAGCGACGCGAAAAAAAAAAAAAAAAAAAAAAAAAAAGAGTGCTCCTCTTACAATCTGAGCCGGATACAAGCTCACAGAATTTTATAAATAGTCCTTGACACGAAACAAAAAAGTGCTGATATTTATTGTCTTATTTAAGAAGGGTTATAATTTTTGATGACCTTTTTAAAGGTACATACGAACCGAGCATCGGTGGAGTGTGGATTCTCAGTAACACATGTAAACCACTTCTACTAGATTCTTATATGACTCAAATAAATTCAACATGCCAAGGGATAAACTGAATAGATCACTCGATCAGCCATAAAAGACCTTTAGACTGCTCCTTTCTTTAAATTTTTGGTTGTAAATTTAACCTTCTTTCGTGACCTACTTTCTTGCCCCATTGACATACAGCTTAGAATGCCAGCAGAAAAATCCGTTCAAACATCATTTTCGGGTAAAATTAAACAATGCCTTTTGGTAATTCTCTTAGATATACTACTTGAAACTATATGCTGGCATTTGGTTGGTTTTTGTGACAAAAAATTGACTTTGTATGCATCTTTAACTTAAAATATATTTCTAGAACGAGTAGTAGGGTGTCTGTCCAACTTACGTCATTAGATCACTGTAGTTACAGAACCTTCATATTGTTGGTGCAGTTACTCGCCCAACGTGAACCCTTCTTCTTGTGGCTTGACAAAATTAAAGCTCTTTTATACTGTAAATATTTCTTTTTGAATTTGATTTCTTTTTGAAACCAATAGTCTTAAATCAGCTTTTATAAATATATTGGTTCGATTTAATTTACTTTTTAAATTATAATTTGAACATGCACACTATCTTGTAAAATTAGAAATGTGTTTTATCTCTCTCAACCATTTATATGCACTTCACATTTTCAGAGTGGAGCTTTTGAATAACACTGCTGTGTAGAAAGCCTTTGCTTTGAGAAGATGGCGGGAGAAACCGTGACAGCTCGAACCACGACCGCAGTTGGATGTTATCCACAGTATCTCGCCACTGTTCCCGGGATATTCAAGATAGTCGAAGTGGTAATAAAGTATATGTTTAGTTTTGTTCAACTTCAGTGGTTGCCATATGGTATCTTGAATGTTTTGCCATTTTTGTGCTTCCCTTAACATTTATTCCAAACTTTAAAAAAATGACCTTGAAAAACTTAAATCTAGCGTTGGATGATTTCAGTTCGCGATATTTGAAGAATACTAGAGATACGCGTTTGGTCACACCTGCTGGCAGTTCAATGGCAAACGAGCAGATTATTGCAGTATTGGTCCCAAGCTATCACAATGCATAAAAAGTTCCTTAAGGGAAAATTGTTTCAAAACTTCACAGTATTTTATTTCAATTTTAGGTTCTCTCTATCCTGGTCATCATTTGCGCTGCTGTCGTAGTAAATTCTGGCGTAAGCCATTACTTCCCTGGCCTTACCTTCGTGGAATTCGTAGGCATTTTCTCCCTTGTGTTTGTGACTGTAATCATCATCTTCTATATGACTCTCTTGGTGAATAAGGTGCCCATATGGTTACTGTTGGTAAGTGGCATTAGAAGTAAAATAATTCAATTTGAAGAGATATTTAAGTGAAGATAGGATTTAAAATTACATTTAAAGCTAGCGTGGTTTCCCTTAAGGACCGTTGCAGTAGTTTCTTATATGAATAAAATAAATTTGTATCTTGTTCAGCCGAAAATAGATTTCAAACTGCACCTTCTTCAATTATATGATCGGACCGCGGACCCCCCGCACCTTCAAATAATCCTGGATCCGCCCCTGAAAATTGCAGAATATTTTTGGGCTTTTAAGTCGAACCGAAAGAATTTCATCATTATCTGATCATATGATCCTCATAGAGTGGTCTTAGTTTTGAGGCCATACATTTATATATTTTGAACATGGCATATCTAGGTCGCACATGTATCCTGCAATAAATCGCAAAGCATTTTCTTTAAATTTGTGAAAATGGAAAGGACGAAAAAATCGCCCTCAGTTTTTTTGAGCGTGAAACCAATGCACATAATTCTCTGCTGTGCTTATTTTTATGATTTATTTTGTATTTCTAGGAATTTATTGCTTTTGTGATTCTGCTGTTGTTCTGGTTGGCAGCCTTTATCACGGCTGCAGTTGAAGCTTCAAAGTATGCTAACTGGAGGAACTCACAATATGCAGCAAGAGTCGCAACAATAGTAAGTAAAGGGAAGAAAGGGCACTGTTTATGATGGCGGTTTTTCGCTATACAGTTTTACATTTTTGCAACATTACAAACATGGTTAAAACAGGTGTGACAGGAATGGCAGCGATCTCGCGGTCTCCTCACTTGACATAACTTTAACAGCTCATAATGCATGTGAAAATTATTTCTTGTCAGCACTGCGAATTGGCGATTAACGATTCCTCCTTTTTATTTAGGTATTTGCCTCGCTGGCATTGGTGGTATTTATCGTAGATTTTTTCTTCGTTGCGAGAGCTTGGCGTGGACGGCCAATCTTTACTACCATCTCTACCCATCACTCCAGTACGACTACCACCACAACCACCACTGTCACCTCGGAAACCAAATACTGAAGACCAGAAACTTCGGGAGTTTTAAGTAACAATCAACGGTCATGAGTAAAGAGAGGCGTATATGGGGTTATGGCGTTATATAATTATTATTATTATAATAAGAAACAGTGATAGCACTTTGGGGTCTTCAGTAATTCTTTTGGTACTTAAAAATGAATCTTTCCAGTTCTAAATTCAAAACTCGTAGTTATACCAACGCTTTTCAGGCCGCAATATTTCTTCACTTCGTTGAAGTCTAGTAAGCTGTCTCGTGCATCCCTTGCATTTTCATTTCATATTTGAAGAAAAATTGTTGTATATAAGAATAACTGGAAGTAACGTGCCTTAAGACACTACCACTGATTATCTGGAAAGAAAATGGGACAATTTAAGACAAACAAAGCCCCCAGTGCTGTCTCGTTTTTTTTTATTATGATATGAATATTCACGATCAAAGTATGTGACTTGGCGGGCGTCTTTTTTTATACACAGGTGCTTGTATAAGATGAACTTGTTTTTTATAAAGAATTTATGAAGACCTAGCTGGGGTAGCGCTAGCAATTTTTTTCGCTTAGCCAAATCACCACTTTTTTTGTCAATTTGTTATCCAAATGGTTATAATTTGACTAAAACAAGTCAAATCAAGCCCTTTTTGTTTAGCCAATTTATGTCAGTTTTAGCATTTGGCTAAATTGGCGACTGTTAGCGCTACCCCAGCCTAGTCTTTGTTCAAACTTTTCTATTTTTGTTTATCGTCAGTGAAAAGCAGACAGCAGCGATGGATTAATTGCTGGATATAGTGGCAGTATTGTAAGAAAATATTTCCAGTCTATAGAATAGTCTGTCCAATGCCAGTGGTGTCTTAGATTAAGTTTTAAAAAATCATAATGTACAAATTTATTTTATTTTTATTTTTTTTTGTTATACTTAGCGAGCAATTTTGACATTTTATGTTCAATACAATGAACAACTCTGTGTTGAGTTAATTTGCTTGACATAGTTTCATAGTTTTTCCCGTGAACAAACTAGCAACATTTTTTTAAAAGCTTATTTAAATATGCGTGTGTATTTAAAGAAAGAAAGCATAAACGAAATGTGCACAATTTGAATACGATCCTTTTCTACTTCATGTATTTGTATTCGCGTATATTAGTGTTTAGTGAAAAGTAACAGTGTATTTACGTGTTAGTCTTCTTTTATAGAGTAAAGAGCTGTGGCTGTTTATTAATATGCTATTTATTCTAAAAAAGGGGGTGTATAAATAGAGTGATAGAGGAATGATAGAGATTCATATAGTTTAGCAGACACGTTACTAAATGTTGATAACCTGTAATTGTATCCCAGTGCTTTATCTTTTTACGGACCAAAAAATAATATTTAGTCGTATTTAAGGAGGGTAAAATAGGCCTACCTTGACCAGTAATCACAAATCCAGTGTTACCAGGTACAGATATTAAATAAAATGTGAAATCACAGATTTTTGAAAAATATTAAATTAAATATTTCTCCACAAATTTTTGGATGATTTGATGGCGATGGAATTAAGCAGTATAATTATAATTTTCAAATTCTATTATTTTTCGCTTGGCTGTCGCCTTGATTGATTTATGCATCTAAACATCACATAAAACGAATTTGAATAAGAATACCACTTATAAACCATATTACAAAAAAAAAAAAAAAAAATTACAAAAAGTAAATAAATAAAAAGTGAGGGCTTGAAGCAATGTGTGTCCATTGCAGTAGGGAAGACCGATCCATTAGACCATTGTGTTTTACCGAGAGAGAGAGAGAGAGAGAGAGAGAGAGAGGATCAGCATCAGTTGAATAATACATCACATGAAGTCCGCATTACAATGTCCTTGTACGCCCTTTCTCACAATGCCCCAGGCGCTCCTACTGAGATACAACTGTAATAGCATTATCGGTTGACAATCATGATGACAGCGCAAAAAATAAGGACTTGCAAATTAATCTTAGCGATTCATTACGTTACAAAGCCAATGGGCACATGTTACGCAAATGGAATCGAGTATTAACGCCGTCGATGGTGTGTTTTAGCGAGATAAAAAAAGACACATTCTATGCCTGCTATTATTTCTGCCTTAATTGTGCCATTTAACATTAAACTTAACTTTTTCCCAAGATCAAATTCATACACATTAGCTAAACGAAGTGATGTGGTGGCCTCTGAACACTATAAGCTTTTTTTTGTCTGTCTAGGGAGTGCTGAATTTCCATGTTGTACATACATGGTTACATGTGATTACAAATTAATATCCTTTCTTAAACGCTACATGTGATCGTTTCTTCAAAGTGACAACGGCGATGGTTGAAGAACGCCACCATTGTTTTTGATCCCGTTTTGACTCTTCCGTCTGCTTCAAATAAATCACTAGACATCAGCGCATTTCCGAGTAAGTTTTTGATTTATTTTTGTCCTGATCTAACTAGCTTTATTTCTGTCTTTTGTCATTGGGGGCCTCCAAACCAAATTTTGAGTTTTATTTTTTTTATTCTACGGTTAATACAGTTCAAATATTTAATATTTTGTATGATTGAATGATTTGGTGTCAATCAATAAAAAATCTAGCCCTATTTTGATGGAAATCTGTCGACTTTACTTTCACTGTAGATACTTTGCAGAAGTTAATTTTACACTAGTAAAGTTATAAATATCAAGTCTTATCAGGAAGTTACATTATTCTATTGTAAAAAAAAATCTAAGTAGAGACGAGCGCATTTCAATAATTCTGTTGGCTCCAATGCGGTAATGGTGTGTAACATGTAATTATCTAATGTCTTCATCACCTTGTTATATGAAAGATTACAGTTAACCGTTCTTCCGTTCAAAATGTCAATAGTCATTTTGATAAAACGATGTTTTATCCACGTTCCACAAAACTGATATTTCATGTCGACTCACTCTCCTAAAGGAAAGGCAACTTCAAAATATGCAATATTCGTGTTATATCCTTTTTTTACGTATTATTCATACATGGCAATGAAGTTTAAAATGGGATATTTTGACGTTTATTGGAATCCACTGGTAGAAGACACATGCTTATTTCTCTCGACCAGGTACCCTTCTAGCTGTCCCAGATGTCACAAAATCGGTAGAGTCGAGTTGAGAGTACATGATAGTAATGGCCGCATTTCCACTCGTGACATGACACTTTATCGACAGACCGTGTAGATTGCGTTTTGAAACCACCGTGACGCGACCTTCTAATTCACTTGTAACGATTTCGGTAAACGGGACAACAAAACGATAAACTTAGCTTTCTAATGGACAGATATTAAAATCACAGAACGCACTTGGGGTGTGTGTTAAGAGAGCATACCCATAGGAAGCATTCCCATAAACACATCAGCCTACGTGGCTCGGTCCAACTCTTCGGGGGCTCTCGGTAAGTGCAATCAGATTAACATGCCTCCCCTGGCGTTAAGTAGAATACAGAAAAACTTGTGCTAATGCGACTACACCGTAAACAAGAGGAGGCGTGTCATTCAGTTAAGCTGATTGCACTTAACGAGAGTCCCCGCAGACTTAGGTCGATCCACGTGGACCGATGGTGTGTCTGTAGGGATGGGGTCTAAGATGAAAGCCGTCACATCTCCACTGGGAACGCGGCGCATGTACATGTACTTCTATACTTTGTCATTTAGATGCAAGTTATCCAATCTTTTTTAATACCAATGGCAAGGAAGATCAAAAATAGTCTTGGCTCTCTGAATAAATACGATAATTGACAAACAGAGAGTAAAGAATGATACAGGTATACATATTTAGTTCATGAAAACACAACATTATTTCACACTTTCCGGTTATAAATGTATCGTGTTTCAAAGTCAAAAATATCCTACAAACACAGGCATTTTCCTCGGACCCACGATTCGTCAAGATATTTCAGAACACTCTTTTCTGTCTTGAACCGGGTAAATGATTACTAGTCTGTGCTTTCTTTATATTGTCACTTCGCGTGAAAAGCTACGGCTTTTTCAGAGGGTGTGTTATTTTAATTTGTTTGGTTTAAAGTAACAACTTATGGTGTAAAGTAAACCCATCGTTCACAAAGAATCCTAAACACTGCCCCCACCTTCATCTAATGTATTTTGCAAAGTTTGATGAGTTTGCTAGATCAGATCGTCTAATGGATTAGCTGCATGTACATAATAAATTAGGTTACATTTTGTGAAACTCTAAACAAAACCATTACGTTCATCTCGTGAAATGTTACAAAGCTCTTTAAATAATTTGCAAGCAAAACCATTTCGTTACAATGTCTTCCCGGACTAGTTGCAGGCTAGAGTAAAAAATTGATAAGACTTCTACAGTGTAAAATGCAGTTGGGCAGTAACTGTATCCAGCTTTATTCTCTGTTGTCAGATCGCAAAAAATTCTTAGCATACCACACGGCAATGGTGCTGAAGCCAACGCACAAATTTGTGGACCGATGGCGGCACCTACAGAATATAATGCCGAAAAATTTTTATGCTAAATTTTGATCTGAAGGGCAACATTCCAACACCACCTACATCAATTTGTCTTTGTCCATTGGGAGAATAAACAGCCTTGGTTTCTTATATTTCTTTTGGAAACTCTCCGCAACCAAAGACTTAGTACCCATATAACTAACTAGATTGATACGTCTGCACTAAAAATAACATGTGCGTGCTGGGTAGAGGAAAGTCCTGCCAGTTCCCTGAGGTTCTAGGTATTCTGGAAATTCAGTCAAGACGATAGTCCTCATTAAAACTTGTTCCGATTGAAGATGTGTCGACCTAACTACTAATACTACTAATACTATGACTAACTGCTTATACTAACTACTAATACTGGGACTCGTAGCGGCAGATAAGACTGATTAGCTCGCCATAGCAAACCATTCCAAAGACCTATACTATAACTTACCTCAAGGGTATTGACGGTGGGCGTGCAAAACACAAATTATATTGGTTACTCTCAGCAAACTTATCGTAATCAGGCTCCCTTCTGTGATGAGTTGTTCCAAGTTAAGTGGGTCAAGTTTGGCTGTAAACAGGCCTTTGGAAATATATCATTTAGAAGTTCCCGTGTAAGGCAGAATTGGAGCAGTTGTTTGGAAATATTGGAGAATTGCGTCTACGATTTCAATAAGTTCAAACTAAGACAAAATGTAACTTACAACCAGTTCATTAGTATGTTATTATCATTTCATGTTCTGCGTGATTCCAAGTTACAGTATATTTGTAGATTGTTTGGTTTGAGTACCTTTTGGTGATCAATTATAAATTTGTTAAATGGTCGGTTATTTATCGAGAACATCATATATCATGTTAAAAAAAGCAGGGATAAGCTAAAAAAAAGTAGAGGCACTCAAACACAACAATGTACAATTTAGGATTAATCGAGTCATTATCTCGGGTAGCTGCCACAAACCCAGATTAAGTCATCTATTCTTCGGAGTGTTGTTCTGCACTTTGTTGGCTCAGATTAACCCACCACCCTTGACATGAACGCCTGCCTCAGCTCATCCCGTGTAATCGGTTGGACCTCTATCCTCCTTACAGTTCGGTCTAGAGCATCCCAACAGTGCGCAATGG